ATTTGCTCTAACTCAATTCATCTTCAGTATGTGAAGATGAACATTTAAGTGCAGTATATTTCAAAGAAAAGTCTTTGATTCAACTTGCCAAGTGCAGCATGCCCCCTTCCAGAGCTGACATTTTCCAGACAATGACATTAAAAATATTCAGCCTTATGGCCAGGTCAAAACTTACAAGCTAGTCATGACAGTTGTTCCCAATCTTTTTGTGCAGCAGCCCCACTTCTGGTCCAAGCTTGACTGCTACAGATTAATTTCAGTAGGACTCAGAACTCGGTGGGTCACAAGAGCCCTGGACACAGGTGTCGCAGTGGATGTAGTCTTTCTGGACTTTAGGCAGGCCTTCGACACTGTCTCTCACCCCATCCTTAGTAAAAAATTAGGTGACTGTGGTGTCGACACCTACAGTCGGATGGGTCGCAAACTGGCTGGAGGGCCGCACCCAGAGAGTGGTGGTGGACGGGTCATTTTCGACCTGGAGGGATGTGGGCAGTGGGGTCCCCCAGGGCTTGGTCCCCGGGCCCCCACTGTTCAATATCTTCATCGGCGACTTGGACGAGGGGGTAAAAAGAGCACCCTGTTCAAGTTCGCAGATGACACTAAGGTGTGGGGAGAAGTGAGCACGCCAGAAGAGAGGGACAGGCTACAACTAGACCTGGACAGGTTACTGGGGTGGGCGGATGAGAACAGGATGGGTTTCAATACAGACAAGTGCAAGGTGCTGTACCTGGGGTGGGGTGGGGAAGAACCAGCAGCAGACCTACAGGCTGGAGAACTCCCTTCTTGTCAGCTCAGAGGCAGAAAAGGATCTTGGAGTCACTGTCGATTCCAAGATGAACATGGGCCGCCAATGTGGTGATGCAGTCAGGAAGGCTAACCGCACCTTGTCATGCATCCATAGATGCATCACGAGCAGGCCCAAGGAGGTGATCTCCCCCTCTATGCGACACTGGTCAGGCCGCAGTTGGAGTGCTGCGTCCAGTTCTGGGCACCGCACTTCAGGAGGGATGTGGACAGCATGGAGAGGGTCCAGAGGAGGGCCACTCGCATGATCGGGGGCAGCAGCAGAGCAGGCCCTACGAGGAGAGGCGATGGGGTCTGAACCTGTTCAGCCTCCACAAGAGAAGGCTGAGAGGGGATCTAGTGGCCACCTACAAATTGACCAAGGGGGACCAGCAGGCAATGGGAGAGTCCCTGTTCCCCCAAGCACTACCAGGAGTAACAAGGAATAACAGCCATAAGCTGACTGAGAGTAGGTTCAGGCTAGACATTAGGAGGCACTACTTCACAGTCAGGGCGGCTAGGAGCTGGAACCAACTTCCTAGGAAAGTGGTGCTCGCCTCGCCCCTACCCTGGGGATCTTCAAAAGGAGGCTAGACAGCCACCTAGCCGGAGTCGTTTGACCCCAGCGCTCTTTCCTGCCCCTGGCAGGGGGTCGGACTTGATGATCTGCTCAGGTCCCCTCCGACCCTACCTACTATGAAACTACAAAACTCCATTCACAAGTTTGTGACTCTGTCTGGAGTCTTACATGAGACTCTCAAGATAGAGAGCTTAGCTGTATGCAGATCTTGTTCTGTCCCTCTGCACAGGGCTGACTTTTACCTTAATGGGTCCTAAGCATTTCAAGTAATGTGTTAGTAGAGAAATTTTGATGCAATCATTAGAAATACATGCCAAATTCTGATTCATCATTTTATTGCTAAAATAAGAACACTAAGGTATCACCAGCTATCCACCACATGGGCATATATTTGAGTATTATTATCCATTCCTCACAGTGCAATAAACCAATTAGAGCATTTGAACATTGAGCAATTATAGAAATAGGTCTTTATAACAAACAGGCAACATTTTAACACAGTTTTGTGCCGCTCTTCTGTAAACACAAAATATTTGAGCTAACTTAACCATTGGAGGCATCTAAGTTTTTCCTTGGAGCTTATTTCCCAGAAGAATGCTCTTGGTATAATGTGGGCCTCCCCCCCATAAGGATTTTCACTTCTGCAGAATGTGGGCTTGTGAAACATCTGTCTTCATTTCAATGGTGCTGCCTGGCTGACATCTGAGGATATCAAAATCCTTTGTGCACCAGGTCTGCAAGTTCTCTCCCGCATCTCCACTGTCAGGTAGTGAAGCAATTAGAGCAGTGATTTCTCCGTTCTCTTGTCAGAAGTTCTTGTATGCCTCAGTCTAGACTGTAGCAAATCTGGGTCTTCTGCTTTTAAAGCCCTTGATGTCCTGGCAAGATTTCTTGCATCTTGCCAGGAGCCCAGTATTCTGCATATTTAGGCTGCAATGGATTTTCAGACCTTACTCATTCTGTTCCTAAATGAAGCTGTACATACCAATAACTTTGGGAACATTTTTACTGAGCATCCATTCTGTTATGACCCCAGATGTTTTCTACCTTTTAATGACTCACTTCTTTGTATGTTAAAGTCATTAATATTGGAAGCTTAATTGTCAAGTTGTTCTCCACAGAAGAGAAGTGGTAAGCAATTGTTTTCAGGTGTCCATACAATTTACATAAGCTCTGAGAGCGCAACCTCCACTCTGAAAGGAGTTGGAGGAAATGGGTATTATGATGTCTCAGTAGCTAGACTAGAAGCCACAACTTCAGTGTCAAGGTTATTAGCTATCAGATTTGTTTCAAGCCTTCTCCAGATGTATTTATATTCCCAAGCTGAAGGGACTGTAAAAGGGCCTGAAGCAAAACAACATGGAAGACAAATGATTGCTTTAGTGGAGCGCACAGGAAGATGTGCCTGCTGAGCCCGGTTCTTAGTAAGATTTAGTCTGTTTTTTTAACAGAACACTAGAGATGAAAGTTGCTACAAAGCAAGAAAATGAAAGTGTTATATAGCTGTTTAAACAGACTGAACTGTCCTCGGAGAATCATCAAAAGAGCTTTAGATACGATTTCCTTGTTTTGTTAATTCAACAGAAAGCTCCACAGCCAAGAACATCTCAAGCTCAGTAGGGGCCAACCTTTTTGCCAGGTGTGCCAAGTTAGCCCCACACCTTTCCCCATGTGCCACTTCAATCCTTTTTCCTTACCCAAGCTGCTGCTCTGCTTTCTGCTACTGTGCTGCCTGTCTCCTCCGCAGTATGCCCCACAGGTCTGCCCTGAGTCACTTGTGGCACTAGCAAGTTGGCTACCCCTGCTCTAGCTGTGTGCCCAGTGAAAGCCTTCCTTCTGAAGACCCAGCACCCTCCTATTTTTCTTCTTTAATCTGAGCAGTTAGTTCTGGAAATTGCTGCATCCTTGCTCTAACAAGTATCTGGTTGGCCAATATCCAGAATAAGTGCAAAGCCCATCCACCTCTAAGGCACAATGTTCCATTCAGGTCTGCTTTGTTGTTTTCCCTTTTTGCTTGGCCCAATTCTGTTGTTTGTGGTGCACTGCTCTGAGCACAGGGTACCTAGAGATTTCGTAACTGCGTAAGAGCTTCAAGGGAGATGAACCTTTGGACCATTGCTCAACCAGACCAATTCTGCCATTAGATCCACAACTGTCATCTAGGTTGTTTTGGTGGTTCGGTGCCTACAGCTGTGGTTTGTACTGTTCTGAGCAGTCTGAGTACAGAGTGCTAGCCTAGAATTTGTAAGAGCCATGTTCATTTCCTCACCACTATACAGAGTTCTCTTGTGACCTTGCACAAGTCCCTTAGTGCTGTACTTTTAGAAGTATTTACATGCCTAAACTGCTAGCAAGTGTTCTGGGCCCTATCTGCACCTTTAGGTGCAGTAATCCCTTTAAAATCCCCTGTCCCCCATCAGTAAAATGGGGTAAGTGCACTTTCAGGGCTGAGAAGATAAATACATGAAAAACTGCAAGATGGCCAGACACTGGTACCAGGATCCAGCTACTGCTTTACATCAAAAGAAATACTGAAGCTCAGCTGGACTGTACGAGATGATCACTGAGGTCCCTTCTGATTCTAAACTGAATGTTTAATGCAGCCATCCCACTTACTTTGATCTGCTCTACTTCTAATTCTATCAGCTTCTAGAATGCATATTTGTTTCCTTGTGTAGTTTGAAGGGATAGTTTTTAAGAACTATCCACAGTGCTTCTGTAGTCCCTGCTTTCCAAAACAGAACAGAGGGCAATTTTGAGCACCAACATAGCAATCCCAACATGTTACTTCAAAAAGTTCTAAGTTTGGGGGGCAGGCGGAGGAGAGGAAGGACAGACTGTTATCCAATGGCAGTTAAACTCTAGCATTGAGAAGTCCTTTTCACAGCCCATTTTTATGGAATATAGGGGTAGTTTGGAACAAAACAGTGCATTTGCCTCTAAGCAAGGAGTAACAATGCATTCATTTGTTAAAAGAAACATCACTCAACTTATGCCTTCACAAACCTTCCGCACCCTTCCCACAGGTTCTGGTGGGCAGCAGCAGTCCGTTTATTTTGTCTGCCAGGCTGCTATGCAAGCAAGAATACAGTCGACATAGGTTCTCCTGCCATGGTGTGCAAAGTGAGCACGGATCACAGTGACCTACGTATTTTCTGAAAAACACCTCCCCCCAGCACTGTTGTACATGGCTCACTTACAGGCACAGCAAGTCTCAATGCTGAGTCCTTTGAAGCTTCTGGCAGACTTATTCTTGCCAAGCCTTGCACTATGATACCTGTAACCTACACATTTATGAACTTTACTACACAGTAAAACACCATGTGGTCAGGAGGAGTTCTGTCTGTCTGACACCAAGACTTTCACCATCCCCTCCATAACAGTCTTTCCACTCTCCATGACAGTACATAATACTGAAATGTATGCAATAGATCTCTTCAGTCTCTTCACTTCTGCTGCAGCTAAGACTTCTTCTCCAACATATAAAGGAGCTGGGAAGTTAATTTCCTGAGAAAGAAACACACACCCGTGACCAGGCATCTTAGTACCCAGAACTGCAGAAATAAGTCCATTGATCAAAACTCCATGTACAATTGTTCTCCCAAACCTTGTCCTCTTTGCATAGTCTTCATTCAGATGCAGTGGGTTAGTGTCCCCTGTTAGCTCAGAAAAACTAACAACATCCCTTTGTGTAAAGGCTTTTTTAAGTTCAGCTTTATCTCCAACTTGTACATGTAAACACCTTAGAAATGGACATCTGAGACACGAGCTGGTAATGTTTGGCTTCATCCAGCCTGTTTGGAAATCCCCACCACAAATCACGGATCTGAATAGTGCCAACATCTCAAGCTTTTTACAGTCCAACCAACTGTTCTGTGTATTCAGTCCAACACTAGCTCTCTACTGTTCCCAGATAACGCGAGCAGGAATGGAGATGTCTGGTGGGAAAAAAAAGAAGGAAACCACAGACAACATTATGAAATCGCCACATAGACTCAGACTGTTACTAGGAGGCAAATTAAAACAATAGCCTCATGTAAAACAGAATCAAAGCAATTGAAGTAAGCCAAGTAGATGTTTGTTCAACTATCACCGTGGAGACCAACGCCAGCTCCCATGCCCAAGTGACTGAACTGGCAGACTGAAGCGAAGCATTTCGTAACAAGCAGCCCTGAGTTCTGAACTGGTAATTCAAATCCAATGTAAGGTTCCCGGTGGAATCATTTGAGAAATCAAAAAGAAAAAAAAACCCAACCCCACAGATTTTCACCATGAAGGACAAAATGACAAAGTAGCAATGAAATTAGTTTCCACCTATCTGCTAATGAGATCAGCCCCGATCTCTTTGGAGTGGAGATGTCAAGTGACAAGACTCAAACACAAATCTAATTTTACAAGGTCACGTCTACAGACTCCAAGGAGAGACGAATCACAGACAACACTAGGCAGAGGACTGTTACAAGCACTGTACTTTTGATTACTTTTCACTAGTTACAAAATGGATCCATCAAATCTGTTTGTTTCACAGCTACACAAGAGTACTGAGCTCTCAGAACTGAGATATTCTATATCGGTAAACCATGTTTTCTGGTAAGAGACTCTACATACTTGACTAAACTCACATTAGTCCTATGAGAAGAAAACAGTGGAGGGTCACCAAGCTCCCAGGGTCTTACCTGCACCACTCTGAAGGCACACTTTCGGTTCTGGTACGAGCCCAACAAAGTTAAAGCACTCCACAGCTTGACAAAGCCACTAAAGGAGAACATTAAGAATGTTAATAGGATCTGCCAGATTTCCTGCAGTATATACAGCTTTGATAGAGACTCAGTGAATAAGAAAGTGAAGTCTCAGTCATACACGGAACAGGTAGTAATTTCATCAGTGGGTTCTGGTCACATTACGAACACAGTTGTGTCACAACAGCCTATCAGTGTGACCAGTCCCATCTACATTGTGAGAGACATGAAAGCTGGAACCTATTTTTGTTTTAATTAATCCCCCTTTTCCTACACCTCATTCCTGGACCCTGTCCCCCTCCCCCACCCAATGTCTTTAGCCTCCTTGCGGGTATTCCTTGGTTGGAGGAAGGAATACCACCTTGACAGAAACAGGCCCTCACTAAGGAATTGGGCATTCAGCAGCAGGTCTTATCTGTTGCTCTCTGGCAGAAGCTACAGCCATCGAGGCACTGAACATCTGGACTCGGTCTGGCCTTCAGACTGTCTCAATGGTCTAAAGTGGGGATGGGTAGGTCTTGGGCAGCCTCCACCCCTCCATACTCTAGGTGGATGCGCTGAAGGTCTTGATGCAATGGTCGCAGGACTCATTACAACTAGACTTGTAAGGCACTCGACTAGACCTCTTATGCATACACCACAATCCAGAGGATCGACAGTTGCCTACTTTAGTCTCTTTCTCTGCAAGCAACTTCCCCTGCTGTTCATTGTTCAATTTCCTCAGCTACTCCTGCCATCTTTCCACAGCAAAGGGACAAGAGCCACAAGTTTCAAGAATGTCTCCTTCACACCTGATAACATAGTTTGTATTTTAAAGATGGGCACAATGAATTGATCCATGTTTGCTATTCACCTTCAACACCAAGTTCACTCAGGTTAGGTCTTTTCCAATCTTCCAGCCTAGTGTTCTCTGCTTAGACCTGAAAACCTCTCTTTCTGATGTCAACTCCAGGAAGAGATTTCGGGGGGGGGGGGGGGGGGG